AATTAACTTTTTGGTACCCATTTATTTTATTTTACTTTATCTGCTTACACTACTAATTCAGAAATTTTAGAATTATTTTATTTTTATTGTCTTGTTGCAACACCAAACCTTTGGGTACTAGGTTTAGGTCGTGACATATATACACACATATATATGTCTATCGAGGAATAAATCACATTTCCACATTACATGCATTCTCCACATGTTAATCAACATTTTCAACTTGGTCATTTCAAGACCAATCAATAGTATGCTATACAACAAGCTTTAAAAGCAACCATTTCTCCTATTCCATGGGATTTCTCATTATATGCAAAAATAATAACAATCCTCAATTATTCATCACCATAATACCTTATCAAAACAAAATCTCAAGAGAACTCAACCTTTTTCCAAAATCCCCAATTTCTAGGTTTTCAACAAAATTAGATATTTCCCCCATTTTTGAAAAGGTTTTTTCCAAGACAACAACCCTCCTTAACAATATAGTTCAATCCGTCAAGAGTTTTTAGAAAACAAAGGGTAAACCCATTTTTAAAATCGTCAACCACTCATGGACCAAAACGAAGTTCAATATTACAAGAGGGAGTTCCAAAATCAACATATTCTTGCAGAAAAATATATATAATTCAAAGAAAATCCCTACCTCAAGTTCTTGAAGGAAGGAGAGAAGAAGCCTCCAAAATCAACGGTGTTAAAACCCGATGTCCACCACACACAATGTAGCCTTCGAAGAGTTCTCCAACTTTGATGAAGGAACTAGGGTCAAAACTTTAATGGATTTGGAGAAATCAAGGATTTAATGAAGTTTGGTGAGGAAAAAGTAGAGAGAAGGGGGAGAAATGTGTTTTAGAGAGAGAGAGATGAGAGAAAAGTAAGATACACTCAGCCCAATGAAGAGAAAAGGACAAGAAATTTTGGACTCCATATTTCCCGCATGTGCGCGCCTTCTTCCGCACGAGCGGCACGTCCTTCACCGTACGTGTGGCCTCGTCCCCCGCACATATGGTCCACTTCCCGCACCTGCCCTTGCTCGTGCAATAAAAGCAGCACTGCACCCTTGACAGCCTATCCTCACCGCACGTGTAGCCTCACCTCTAGCACGTGCAGCCCTTTTCTGCACATGCAGCCCAAGCCCCCGCACGTGCAGTCCTGCCTCCGTGCTAGAAATTTCACTAGCTGAACCCGAGACACCCCTGATCCAACCTCACACCTTCCAAAACAAGCGAAACTTAACTCTGGAATAAAATAAAGATGAGAATCTGAAGAGGTTTTAAGAACGGCGAACCCAAACGGTCGACAAGACATCAAATTAATCCCCGACACTTATAACATGAGTAAGCTAATCACAAATAAGAGAAAAACAAGACGGGTTACGTACCCGGTCATCACAATTAGGAGATTGCTACTACCCAAAAAACAGGAAGACCAGTAATCAGAATTAACCTATACTATCAGAATTAACCCACTGTTAGTGTATATATATATATATATTTCATATTAATTTTACTTTTATTTCTAATGTTTAAAGTGGTGTAGGACAAAGGAAACACAAAAAGGAAATGAAGAAGTTGGAAGGAAACTCTTGAAAATTTCATGGTTTATGGTTTGCCTGGTTTCAGTCTCTTCTCTGCGTTTATTATTATTATTATTATTATTTTAGGCCTATTAAATAATGAAAATGTCAGATTATCAATCATCATTTCTACTGTATAGGAAACACACATCATTGTTCAAGTTTTGAAAATGACAGATTGTTTAGGGGAAACAACTGGAAAAAACATATTACCTTAACTCTAGTTCATGGCTGAAATTGCGGCTGAAATCTTCGGAGTAAGACAGAGGGAGAGAGGGAGAGACTGTCAATGTTTGCTGCCAACTTCGATTGGCCGCCGTCAGTGTCACGAGATGGAGTCGTCGTTCACCAGAGCTCAAGAGGGAGGGCAAAAGTGAATGGAAAGATATGGGAGGGAAGCTCTGTTTTGCTGTGTTCAATGAAATGGAATTAAATTTTTTTTTTTTTAACTAATCTGATTTGAGCCGTAAATTTTGTCCAAAATAACGTGTCCAAATCTTAGCAGTTGACCAAAGAAAGAACTTGAGAGGATTTGAACTTGTACAAACCACGCGAGACTATCATATATGCCCTCTTTGTTTGTGGGCCAAGTCTCAACACATGGGGCCAAGTCCCAACACCTTGTGTTCAGAACTCCATGTCCCACCACTCACCTTAGAGTATCTCCAACGGTGAACCAAATTTTTCACCAAATTTGAGTAAAAAAAGCCAATTTTCTCAATCTGATATGGCTTGCTCCAACCGTGCATCAAAAGGGAAGGGGTCAGTGTCACGAGATGGAGTCGTCGTTCACCAAAGCTCAAGAGGGAGGGCAAAAGTGAATGGAAAGATATGGGAGGGAAGCTCTGTTTTGTTGTTGAATGAAATGAAATTTTTTTTTTTTTTTAACTATTCTGATTTGAGCCGTAAATTTTGTCCAAAATAACGTGTCCAAATCTTAGCAGTTGACCAAAGAAAGAACTGGAGAGGATTTGAACTTGTACAAACCACACGAGACTATCATATATGCCCTCTTTGTTTGTGGGCCAAGTCTCAACACATGGGGCCAAGTCCCAACACCTTGTGTTCAGAACTCCACGTCTCACCACTCACTTTAGAGTATCTCCAACGGTGAACCAAATTTTTCAACAAATTTGAGTAAAAAAAAGTCAATTTTCTCAATCTGATATGGCTTACTCCAACCGTGCATCAAAAGGGAAGAATCGACCGGTAAGGGCAATTTTTTTTTTTTTTTTTTTTTACCTGTTTAAACCTTTTTTAACCGGTTTGAACCTACCATTTGAAAGGGAACCTGTCGACCGGTGGGTCAACCAGCCGGACAACCGGTTGGTTGACCGGTTGGCCCACCCCAACAGTAACACACAATGAAATGGTGAAATCTGGAGCCTATTCTCACTTTGATGAATTTTTTGTTCCATTCTTATTTTGATACCAATTTGGTGAAACCATTGGAGCTCCAAAAAGTGACATTTTTACCAAAATTTAAATATGATTCAAAATTTGATGAACCATTGGAGATGATCTTAGTATTATTGTTATGGAATAAAAAGATGGTTGTTCCACTAAAAAATATATATATATATATATTTGCAATCAGAAAAATTGTCTTGCACAAGCTTTTTGTCATTTTGTCATTTTGTTATATTTTACCATTGATTTTAGTTCAAGGTTGTTTCCACATTTAGGAATTCACAGGGAAAGGAGGTTTTTTTTTTTTTTTTTTTGAATATTCTAAAACATAATAATAAATTAAAAAATTGACTCACTTTTCAAATTATTTGAGAAACTAACCTACTTTTTGACAATTTCAACATATAATTTTAACTTAAAATTGTATGTTCAAAATATAATTTATGACAACATGGACTGCTATGGTGACAAATTAAAATTGTGTATTGTAAATGCGATTTCATTGAAATCTCATGTTTAAAATGTAACTTCACTTAAAATTATATTTTCAACATGTGATTTTAAATGAAATTACATTTTCAACATCTGATTTCAATTGTTAGCCACTCGTGACTTGCTACAGCGATTCCAATGTAATATTATCAATCTTAAATTATGTTGTATGTCGTATCATATTTCTTAATATAAAAATGTATTATAACATTTATATTTTTATTAGTAAAATGAAATAAATGATAAACATTACAATTGACATAATTGTAGTTTTATGTAGATAGTTGATTCAAAGAGTTGTTAATTGACATAGTTGTCACCAACGATGTGAAATTTAAAAACAAATACATTTTTAAGTCTCACATTTTTCATATAATTATGTTAATCTCCCTTTTAGTAAAGTTAAATGGACCGAAACTAAAGCAAATATTGTCTAACCACAAAATAAATAATGTAAAATATGCACTTTTGTTTAAAAAGTATGACAATATTATTTTTCATCCATATAATTAAAAAAAATTAATGAAAATTAAGTATGATACAAATTAAAATAAAGGAACTCAATGTAATTGTGTTAAAATTATAGCGTTCACTATATTACGTTAAGGGAGTTTTATCTTTTCTCAAAATTTACTTCAATATATAGGGGGAAAAAATGACATAGAAGGAGTGATAATTTGACATGAATAAAAATTTATATGTACCAAAATAATATGAATTAGTTTGACTATATATGTTAAAAAATGTTGAAACAAAAGGACTTTCAATTTGCCAAGTAATTGCTGAATTTCAATTTCAAACGTCATTTTCAAAATAGATTTTGTAATTACGTAACTTAAAATCGCATTTTTAAAATGCAAGTTTATTTCAACTTGCTACATCAACTCAACAAAAGCTATGTCAACTTGAAATCGTATTTTCAACTTGCCACATCAGCGCATCAGAATTCATGTCAATCAGAAATTACATTTTAAACATGATTTCAAATTGAAATTACATATTCAAAATGCGATTTCAAAAGTAAGTTAATTTTTCAAATAATTTGAAAAGTTATTCAATTCTCTAAATAATTTTTTTTTATGTCTCAAAAAAAAAAAAAACTCCACAAATCAGTTTCTATTACCATTTAATTAAAAATTAGAATTAGCATACTATATATTACACTAGTTGGACAAAAAGGGCAAAGATTTCTTGAATCCACCTTTGAAGAGCATACTAGTATTTCAGAAATTTTATCCCAAAAAATACCCAAAATAAGCATTAGAAATTCATTCTAAAGTAAATTTCTTAACATTTTTCCTCGGTCTTTATCTTTTCTGTACTCTTGTCACGTACTCAAAACCGAAGACAACAAAAACACAAAACACAAAACAAAGAACTATGAATTGACAAGTAAATACAAAAAGTCATCTTATTCACAACTCAAGTGATGAACAAAACAAAACCAAAAAAAAAAAAAAAACATAAAAACTGAAAACACAGAAAACATTTTTAGCTTTTCATCTCCGTCAACAAAAGTCCCCTAATCAAAACCCATAATCATTTTATTATCAAAGCTCCTAATCACCCTCGGCATCTCCTCCGCCTTCGTCACCTCCTTGTCCTCTACCCGCATTTGCATGTCAGGTGGTGCTGCAGAAGCCGAGGGCAGTATGACACCCTCGTGCTGAGCATCATTGAGTTTTGAAAACTGCTCCTCGGTCAGACCGAACGAGGCCGCAAGCGCGGGAGACCTCATGCTCTTCATAATTGAGTTTGCACCCACAAGGAACTGAGGCCGGTTCTTCTGTGACGACGTGGAGAATCCAAAGAACTCAAAGGGGCCGGTCCGAGACGCTATCTGGCAGAACGGGAAGTACCGTGGAATCCAGAACACGTCGCCTTCACTCACTTTTGCATTCATGGCTGAGGTTCCGTTAGGAAACACTACCTGAATAGTACCAGTTCCTCTCAACACCACCCCGTACTCCGTCGCACTTGGATTAACATGTGGCGCCATCATCGATCCCTTGTGTTAAACAAGTAATAGTTAGTTAATTCGATTGTCAAAGTGCAATTAATAATAATTAATAGGACTAATTACTCGAATCTAATAGATTTCTGACAATTAGACGATCCTCCATTTTGATTCGTAGATTCTCATATGGCCATTTTTTCCTCGTACTAATGTTCGTATTTCAAAAATGTCAGTGCTATATCATTTTAAATAATTTTTTCATATAACATTTTGTTTGTGAATCATTTTCCAACAAATGAACAGATAATGATGGGTAATGGAAGTAGTTGATTACCGCTGTGAGGTTGACTAGATAAAGACCAATGCCGGAGTGGCGGAGAGGCGAATAATCGGACTCATCGATGGCCATGCTGGAGCCATACCTGTTCTCGAAGTCCGGCTTCCTGTCGAAGAGGTTATAGGAGTCCGGCGACTTGGGTCCCTTGTTGTCTTCACCATTGGATTCGGTTCTAAACACGGAATTCAAGAACTTCCTCAATGACCATGTTTCTTCTTCCTCTTCTTTAGTGGCTTGTTCTTGGAAGTACATCATTTTCTTTAGGTGGTGTTGTCTCTCATGCGTTTTCAGTTGCAAGAATTGTGACCATGTACTTGGCGAGTGCGAATCCGACAAGTATACGATTGGGCCGGATTTTTGGCTTGTCATGATCTCCCTCAGCTCTGATGTAGAGACCTACAATCGACATTGATTAGCCTCTTTTTTTAAATAGCTATATGTGAAGACTTGAGAAACAAAAAAATGAACACATAATATACATGAGTGCACAAGATTTTAGAACATTTGTTGCCTATTTCAGAAAAATCTTATCCACCCATAGATGTTTATGTGTCCGGTTTTGGTTTTTGTGTTCCTACACTTATGTGACAACTAATATTCACTTACATTGAATGCAGTTGACAAGGTCAGGGGATCGAACCCAGCAAGGATAGATTGCGGATTAGTTCCTCCACCGATGTAGAAAGACTGCATAGATGGAAGGGTGAAAAAAAAAAGGATTAAAAAACATTTTGCAAATTTGCAAAACAATGGCATAGGCAAGGCAAGAAAAAAGAGTCAAAACACTAAATAAGCAAATGATTTTCAAGCAAGGACATGAAAGGATTAAATGCACCTGGACGGTGCCCCATCCCAAGCTCTCGGCCTTGTCGAGGCTGCAAATGATATGAAGTCTTTGGCCCTCGCCGATGTTAACCAAATAGAATGCTGAACCAGCTGCAATTCTATACACATCTCCACTCTTCAATCGCTTCTCGACAAAATCATCTTTGTAGATTGATCCAACTTTTGCATCCCCTGCACCCCCAACACAAAAGAAGTCAATATTTCAAGTAGGAAAATGACCCACACACACAATTTTGAAATTATTAACATTATAGTCCATCTTAATTTGAACGGAGGCCATGTCCCATCCTGTGAGGTCACTTCTATACTCACTTCTAGTACCTTGTATATGAAGTTGGGGGTATGTAATTAAAGATTTAGAAGTAAAAAATCATCTAACCACACACTTTATGTATAGTTTTCTTTTTGTGACAGTAGCATTCTTCAAGTTGGGAAAATTGCCAAAGAATCCCTACTTTCTCACAAAAATACACTTCATTGATCCCATTACCAACACTCCAGAAGGTGTTGGGCTTAGGCGCCACTACACAGAGTACATCTCTGCTCTGGCACATATAATACTTGTTTTACACATGCTAGAAAGGGATACGGGGGCTACTGCTGTGCCTGCTGTCCCCTTATGGGAGATTTTTTCGAGTATTTTTCAATGATATGAACCGTTCATGTTGTAGGGTTCGTCAATATTACTATTCATATAAAAAAAATCAAGTTAATCGGATATTCATAACCCCATGATCAAGTTCTAATTGTTCTAAAAAATTTATGAAAGTTACGTTAACCGTTAAGTTTTATAAAAACAAATGTGCTTTGGTTATAGGGCTACAGGTATCCAATCAACTTAATTTTTTGCATGGATGATCTACTCGACGAGCCCTACAATGTGAACAGTTCAAATCATCAAAAAACATTCAAAATAATCTCCCACAAGGGGACAGCAGCAACTGTTGCCTTGGGGCACAACAGTTTCCCCCATTCGGCTAGAAAGGGCCTGGCTTCCCTCCAATTTCAGATCGGATTGGAGGGTCCTGTTGGATCTATGAAAGCAGTGGCGGAGCCACAGAGGGCCCGGGGGGTCACATGCCCCCTGGGTTTTGGAATAAATTTTTTTTTCCTCTTTTGTAAACATAAAGAAAATATTTTAAATAAAAAAATTATAAATTATTATTTAGAGTAAAATATCAATGACATTTTTAAAATTATGAAAATAATAATAGTTATTTTTTTTATTGAAAATAAAGACGATAAGTCATATTATTATTTATGAAAATTTCAATACAATGGTGATGTCTATCATTATTAACATACAATTATAATTAATCTCAATGAAGATATAGAATTTATTAAATCGTTAGCTACATTTGACATGTGGGGTTCATCCTCTATGTGTTTCTTTACTGTTGGTTGGTAATATCATATGTCAATGATGACGTGGTATTACTATTATTTCGAATTTTTATTGAAATTTTGTATAAAAAATTACTTTATCATTATATAATTTATTTTAAAACTTATATCCATAATTTTTTTTATATTGTCCATGACATACTAGTTACAAATAATATATATATATATATATATATATTTCTTGAAGTCAACCGTAAAAATTTACGTGAAATATTTTTGTAAAAATTTTCAATATTATAATTAATAAGTGCTCTCTTTGATTTAATTTATTGGCTCTGTCACTACATGGAGGCCCAACACAAGTCATATTTTGATAATTCGAACCATTGAATGTGTAGAACTCGTTCGAGTACTATATGCCTGTAAAAAATCACGTTGATCAGATATCGATAATTACATGATCAAATCAATTTTGTATCAAAAAAATAGACGGTGAAAAAATAAATGATTAACAAAAAATTGATACGATGAGATAGCTATTGATATCCAATCAATATGTGATGCTTTATAAGCATATAATACTTTTCCAATTCGATCTGAGAGTAGAGGGAAGCTAGTGGCTACTGAAATTACAAAGTATAAGAGATTTAGGCGTCGTTTGGTAAGCCTCTCAAATTATAGTTCCACCCATTACTTTGAGTGTGGTGTTTGTTTTGAGCTTTCAAATCATAATTCTACACCCATTTCTCAAAACTCAATTCAAAACATAACCATTACTTTTCAACACTCATAACCAAACATGTAATTCAAAACTCTTTTCAAAACTCAATTCAAATCAATATTTTAATTTTTTAAATATTTTAATTTTGTTGTTAAAGAATTAATATTTAATTTAAATATGTTACGATTTTTTAAACATAAAATTTTTAATTTTTGAATATGTTTTAAATACTACGATTTTAATTTTTTAAATTTAAAAATATTTTATAAAAATAAATTCAAACTCTATTTTTATAAAAATATTTTTAAATATTTAAATTTTTGTTTATGTATTGGTTACGATTTGAGTATAAGATGTGAAAGTAGTATGAATTTCGAGTTATGCCTTGGTTATGAGTTTTAAAAATAATTTCTTAATTGAGTTGTTTTATAGTTTGGGTTCGATTTGAGCGTAGAGTTGTTTTAAATTAAAATTTTAAATTTAAATTATTTAAATTATTTAAATTTTACGATTTAAATTTTTGAATATTTATTTTAATTTTTTACTTATTAATTTTTTAGTTATTTAAATTATTTAAATATTTATGATTTAAATTTTGAATATTTATTTTGAAAAAAAATATTATTTAATATTTTAATTTTCTAAATTAATTTTAAAATATTTTTAATATTTTTATTATAAAGCCTAAAAAATAAATTGACAGAAAATTAATTGATAGAAGTATTATAAAAAAAATATTATAAAAAATATATTCAAAAAAAATTACTTAAAAACAATTATAGAAAAAAAAATATTATTTTTTTATTTGAGTATTTTAAAAACAAGTTTGGTATGACTGCTAATAAAAAATACGAATATCAGTAGTTGTTTGTTGAATTATCAATATATGTTTAAATTAAGTTTTGAAAACTCAATTCACCAAACAAATTTTCTCATTCAACTGCCACATCAAAACTTCAAGCCTCTTCCACATACAATTCAAACTCATTCAACGCCTATTCAAAAATCATAACCAAACAAATTTCTACACTCAAATCATAATTACACAACCTCTCACAAACTCAAATACAATTCATATTTCATCAATCATTTTTGACAAAACTCTACCAAACGCAACCTTAAGCTTAAGATGATTGAAAAATTTCTTATTTCCACACCTCTTTTTGTTTTAAATCATAAGTTCTAGCTCTCATAAATGAGTACGTTATAATGAGGATACATTTTAACCTCTTCTCACCCTATGATGCGTCAGTTGTCATATGAGTGGGGGGGGGGTGTTGGGGGAATTTTTTGGGCTAATTCCAAGGAATGTTAAATTTATTTCAAAAAATAATTTTTTTTAACAAACTCATTTTAAAAAAACTAATTTCAAGAAGCTGCCCTACTTCTGATTATCATCATATTTTAGGGCATTATTAATTTACAATTATACCTTTAAAAATTTTCTTTCAAAAATACTGTAGTTTTTTTGTTTTTTTTAATTAGAAATATGAACTACTTGCGAATAATAAAAAAAAAAAATTAATTCAATTTACAACTAAAAAGGTTAACTCAATTTATAATAACATGAGTAAAATGGTATACACCATCAAAAACCTATTTCACAATTATTTATCAAATACTACTCAATAATTTAAATTTATAACAACAATTTAAATCTATAATATATCAAACAGATTAACAAATTCTAACAAATTCCGATTAAAACTATAATCTATGAAATAATTCAAATTTAACAATACGTAGAAAAAATATTTACGCATCAAAAATCTATTTTACAACTATATCAAACACTACCCAATCAACAGTTGCATAACGAATTAACATATTCTGATTAAATTATATTTATAATATTTTACCAGCTGCCACAAAAAATTAGAAATATGTTACCTATGATATACAAATGCTTAATGTCTCACATAAATTATATGAATTACTAAAACAGAAATTAAATGTTACACTTCAATTTTAATTACCATATGTCCATTGCTTCATTAATTAATCCTGTATAATTTCTCTCTAGGATACAACAAAAAAACACGCAAGAAAGTAATACCTCTGCAACGAAGAATGATCAATTGGAATCAAGATACTGAGGATGAAGAAGACTTGGGTTCCGAGTGTATTGAACCCAACATGCATAGCCCTTAATCACCATCCACCCTCCTCCTCCTCCAATACCACCACCCTCACCAACTTACTGTCCCCTGCATCAGTCCTTACCACTTCCCCTTCACATCCTGCGCCAAACACCCACCACCTACACGTCTTCCCCTCCCTTCCCTCCTCTCTCTCTCCTCCTCGCTGCTTCTTCTCTCTCCCTCCTCTTTTCATCTCCCTCTTTCTCTCTCTCCACTCTCTTCTCCTTCATCTCATTAACCACTCACACTTGCCACTGCCCACACCAGCATCATCACAGCGACTAACAGCAACACAGCTCTTCTCTTACCCATCTCTTCTCTCTCTCCTCTCTCCTCTCTCTCTCTCTCTCTCTCTCTCCTCTCTCTCTCACTAAACACCAACTCTTGGATTTTCGTGTGATTGAGTGATAGATACTACTGAAGAAGAATTGATCGGTCCCGGTAGAGAAGCTGTATATGTAGAGAGGAGGAGAAGTGTACTGTCAGTGCATGGCGCGTTGATTTGCTGGCATTTGCTATTATAGACACCGGTTTTCATCTTTCAAATAGTCAGTGCTCGATCTCTACCTAGAACAATAAGTGGGTAGGCTACACATGTTATTTACTTATTATAATTTTATTTTTATTTTAATGTAACCAAATTATAATGAATTGTTAATTTTTACTTTTTAGATTCAACATTGCATATAATCACTATTTTTACATATATCTAAGTAAACTCTACTTTTATTTATTTTTTAAGTACTTAATAATTTTATTTACTTAGGGGTTTCTTTTTTTAAGATCCTCGTATAAAAATTTATAGCATAGGACACCTAATATTTCATAATGTCTAAGGTCCCTCAATGTTGATCCAGAGAAAATATGGTCCAGAGAAAATCCGTACTCACAAGAAAGATACGTCACAAGAAAATTGGTCCAGAAAAATCTCTAAGGAAGAATTTCTCTGTACCTTTCAAGAGTGGTCTGATGGAGGACAGAAAGTGCATACATATATCAAATGCTGATTACCCAGAAAAAAAAAAGAAGCAATAAGATCAGTGGTATTTGCAGACTAAGGAAGCACAACCATTGAAGGAATGTAAATAAACATACACACATGGTACAGGTATATGTAGTATGAAATTTATAAAAAATATACATAATGATAGTATTATAACTCAGAGATGTGGACTTTCTGGAATTTGCTTAGATCATAACAAATCTAAACATTTACTTCTGACGGTCACCTTTAGATGACTTCCAGCAATAGCAAGGCTTCCTTATTTAGGTTCTAGTTTCCATGTAGAAACCAAGAATATTAGAGCCATTTCAAAGTTCATGAACATCTCTGAGTTTAAAGACTTTGAAATTTCAAATTTTTCTGCGAAAAATTCAAAATTTCTCTGGGACTCCCCAAACCCAGAAAAATTCCCAGACCAAAAATTTCCAAGCTTCGCTCACTTCCAGAAATTCTCTGGACTCCAATAA